TGATGTTTATGATAAAATAGCATGACTCTAGATCCCACTACATGTCAATTGACGTTTTGACCTATGAGAGAGAATATCTCCCTCAGTTGAGTAGAGCACCTACAATCATTCACTACGGATCTTTGAACGAGTGTGATAGGATCCATAATTTCATATTCCTTCTTGTACAATCGTGGGAATAGGTTGTGAACACCACAACTGCCTATGTCGGTTGTACGGTACGCCATTCTGGGTAGAGCATTTGAGCAAGGTTGGATGCACTTGAATAGGGTGTTCAGACTAGTCTAGAATTCTCTATGGTAGAAATATCGATTTGATCAATCCACGGTAATACTCAACATCGGTCAAATTGAGGAGCTAGGGGGATTCATTCCTAAGTGAGCTCCCAACCTTGTAATTAACTATGGTAGTACCTTAGTTAGGTTATTTTCTTAATCACTATTTTTGTTTGGCTAAATGACGAACTTAAGTTGAAGTAATCGTACATTTAGAGACCTGTCGTTCGATAATTTTATTACTTTTCTTATCCTATGCTACACCTGGTCGATAGAATTGAAGTCTAAGTTCCACAATAACAAAAATCACAAGTCATATACAAGTTTAATAATCCAAATTGTCGAAAATAAATCAAAGAAAAGGTTATCATACCAAGAATGAAACTACATCAGAGCATCAGTTTCAACATTTTCATCAAACTATTAGTCATCTCCATCATCATTGTCGTCTTCATCGCTACCATTAACTCTACCGTTAGAGCCATGGTCACTATTCTCTCTTACACTATCCTTTTGACATAATTTAATCTCCCAATCCTAAGCACATCTTATGAAATTCTACACTACACAGGTTATATCAATGGTTAAATTTGGGGTGTATTTTGTGCAAATTTGGAGTAAAGATAGAGGAACGTACATGAATGGAGAGAATACAAAAGGCCAAAAGATCAACAGAAGAGTGTGGAGAAATATCACCACTGATAGCAAATAAATTTTACATATGGTTAACCATATTTTTATTTCATTTATGCTTGTCATTAATCTATTATGCGCCTAGTTTTTTATTTTATGTTTGGTTATGTGTGTTTTAGTGTTTTAGAGTATTTACACTCATAGGGGAGAAAAACTATCATATTCAAATCCAAGAAAATAAAAAAATTGAGGATATGAGATGGTAGATGGAGAGAATACACACATATGGGCGTAAACAAGAATGGATTTCAAGGTCAAACGAAAGTGTTTATGACTCGAAAAGTGGAGCTGCTATGAGAATTAAGCACAAATGGAGCAAAAAAAACATGTTATTAATGTTGTTACCATGTTTAATGCTTTTGATTACACTTATGACCACTTTTGTACACAAAATGTTTTAATGTAGAAACTAACTCATTTTAGTGATACTAAATTAATTTTTTATTCTTTAAGGGGCCTTTTTTTACTACTTTGGTTACACAAATGTGTAGCTCTTTATTTGAGAAACAAATGGTGACGAAAGCAGGAGTGCTAGAAAAAATAAATTTCTTTCATTGCGTGTCACTTTTGGTTGCATGGTATTATATCTATGTATGGGATGTTGCTTTGAGAAAATCAAGGTTCAATCGCGGGTTGTGATGAATGATAAAAATATACAATGTTTACATACCACTCTTAATGTTCTACATGGTTCTTTCATGGAGATAATGCAAAACATAAAGCACTCCTCTGCAGATTAGATAGTTTACCGCCCACCCTTGGCCTCCAACCCCTATCTGTTAACTTCATATAATTTCCTCTTATAAGTCAATCCCAAAGGCTGTTAGGTTTCGTAAGCAATAACGAAACAGTTTTAATCATGAACGCCCCATTCATTCGAGTGGCACAATGGAAACCCATACCTCCCTCCTCTTTCGGTTTGCATACAGTGTCTCTGTCAACCAGGTGAATCTTCCTTCCTTGCTCTACGCTGCCCAAGATGAAGACCTTAATATTCTTATCAATATACTCCCTGACAGAAGCCAGTAAGAAAGAAGTCTGCATGGTATAGTTGGTAGCGAGGACCATATTGATTTCGCTAGTTTAATCCGAGAAGCCAATGATAGGGACCTGATCTTCAACCTTGCTACTCTTGCATCACTTTTGTTAATGAGTTCAATGAAATTTTCATTCAATACCCTATCATGTGTCACTCTGCAACCCCTAATTAGCGTCCCAAGTCCTTCGTTTCATGGATGTTGATAGCATTAATCAGAGTTGCACTCGCTGTTGTTGTCACATTCGTCTATAAGAAAACTATCAGCTTAAGTGTTCTTACTTGATGTTCATAAGCCGCCCCAAACTCCTCGAGACACTTCGTGATCGTCTGGAATTGTTCTAGAGAAGCCACACCAAATACTATTAATTCGTCTATGAAAAACAAGTGTGACAACAGAGGCCCCTAACTTGAAAGCCATGTCGGCTTCCACTCTTCTCCATCCACTGCAGTGGAGATCAGGTGTCTTAGCCTTTCCATGCATAGCGTAAATATGTAAGGAGAAAGGGGCCAACCTTGTCGAAGTCCCCTTGATGGCTCAAATGCATCTGTAACCCCGCCAATCCATTGTATATGCATACTTTTTGACGATATAAAATTCATAGGAATGTCATTGAAACATTGGGGGCACCCACGACCACCAATGTATCACAAAAAAATCCATTTCATACGATTATAGGCCTTGGTAAGGTCAATTTTTAGAACCATCCCACCTTGCTATGCTTCACACGCATCGCCTAAACAACTTCCTGCAAAATACAAATGTTTTCAGTAATATGTCGTCCGGGGACAAAGGTCGTATGCATTTCATGCACCAACCAAGGCATAAGTGGCTTGATTCCTCCGCCAAACATTTGGTTATCATCTTATACATCATATTGCAAAGACTAATGGATCAGAATTGCTCAATCAATGAGGGACATCGGATATGTGATGGCTTGAGCCAGAAGGATTTTGCAAATTCCACCAAATCATGTTCAATGCTCATCCATGCCTTGCCCATTAAGGACCCCTATCAACTTAACTGCATTGTATATCTCATTCTTGGTGAACTAGGCTATCAACAGCAGTTAGAGGTGAGCTAGAATCTCACTAAGGGGTTGTTTGCTTGATGGTATTAGAGATGGATTTAAGGATGGACTTGGGTTGGTCATGGACTTTGATGAAAGTGTGTTGTTTGTTTGATAGACAGTGGGGTAGTAAATCCATGGGGTCCATGGATTTTGGAGCTCCAAATCCTTGGGCCCTATAGACTTCAAACTCCGAGCCCAACAGGTGGGCAAATGGGTCATGGACTTTAATCCATCAAATAATGACTAGGCTGCCCTAACTTTCGTTTGTCCTCTCTGGAAAAAAGAACCGTGTGAATGCAAAGAAGAGGCGCGAATTGAAGGGATAAAATCGTGGGAAGAAAGAAGAAGCACTCAAAAGCACACTTTTGCTAGGTCTTGAGCTGAGAGAAGGGATTTCGACACTCTGCAGCAACAACATAGAAAATCCTTTGACGTCGACGTCGACTCACCTGTGGAGAACGTCTTTGCAACAACAAACAAGGTTAACTTCCTCCATTCTTTCGATTTTATTGCTGCCCTCTCTGGAAGAATCCTAGACTGTAGGGAAAGCGAATGCTTTATGTGTCTAATTATGAAATAGATTGCCTCTTTTATCTTCTGCTACTTTCTTCCTTTGTGTATTATATTGTGCCTCTTCCCCTATGTTTTATTGTGAAGAACTTGATGATGCGGAAATACGAAAGAACACAGAACACAATATTTTACGTGGTATCCTCGATCGATTGATTGATAGAGACTAATCCACGGTGAGCTCATAAGAGCTCACGGCTGATCTCTTATTAGGATTACATCTTGACGGCTTGCTTACGACAATCTCGTAGCTAAGCTTATATAGAGATAGACTAGGTTTAAAATCCTAATGAGAAGAGTTGAGTACGGCCACACATTCGTACCTAATACAACTCGGACAAGGCCCAATAAGGCCCAATACTAACACGGTTTAAGTAACCGCAACACTCCCCCTCAAGCGAAGACACGAATGACAAGAATGTCGAGCTTCAAGAAGGAAATGTGACGAATAAGCATGACAAGCTTGAACAACAAAACTCGAGATGAACAACATCTCGGACGAGGCTGATTTGAAGACGACTGACTCTCTCCCTTGAACAACCTGATGAAGATGGTTGACTGCATCTTCTTGAACGTCGTGACGAAACGGTTGATTGCGTCTCTTGACCGACCTGACAGAGACGGTTGACTGCGTCTCTTGAATGACTTGACGGAGACGATTGACTACGTCTATCCGTATGATATGGTGGAGATGGTTGACTGCATCTCCTAAACGACTTGACTCTCTATTCTACCCCTCAAGCTGACGCATGAACGATGTGAATGCCCAGCTTGAAAGTTAGAATGGTGATGACTCAACATTGACCGATGTTGAATGCTGAGGGGACGATCGTTACTGGGATCGTGATGCCTCGCTTTATGACTTGACCTTCTTCTTTTTTTTTTCTTTTTTTTTAAGAAAACTATATCTCCCCAACAATAGCTATTGAAGAGACAATGACTGCAGGTCACGATTTTTCTTCAACGCCATGACTTTGATGTTGGTGAAGACTTGCTTTCTACGGAACCTTGATGAAGATGACACGGCTTCAACGACAACTAGCCTTCTTGACAAAACAAAGTGACTATAGCAACAACTTGAACAATCGAAGACTTCATGGGACTGAGCATGATGGCGATTATAGAAGCACATGAAGTTACTTTCAGCTGTGGACAAAAGATGAATCACATGACGTCAGTGGGATGTAAACTGTGAAAGTATCTCCAAACTGAGAGTTGACAGCAGCTCGTTGATGCAGAACCGGGAATCAATCAGCTTCACATGGCAAGGGACTCCAGCCATTGACTATGGTGCAATTAGAACAAGCATATAAATGCATGTAGATAAGCTTTGCTGACGTAGACTAAAAATAAACACGATGGTTTATTTTACTTGATGTCTCCTTCCCTAGCTATGCAAGTGTCCCACCAAAACTCTACTGCAATTGTTGACTGGCCGGCGAACGAGACAAATTGAAACTACTTGATGCGAACTTTAGATGATAGCAGATGAAAACCCTTGTTCAATCGCCTCTAAGAACACAAGGCATGAAATTACCATGGCCATATTATTTTGCTGACTTGATGGAACCGGAGCTGGCGACCGGCGATGATGGGGCTTACAATGAAGTTGCAACAGTGACATGTTCTGGCTTGCAACGACAAAAGACGCCGCGATCGCTGACATGAGCGGCGGTTGTGAGGAGGCTGCAGTTGCTGATGGGTGACGACGGTAGATGACGACTACCGGAATGCTGATTGCCTGTCTGGACGGCGGTTGTGAGGCGACTGCAGTTGCTGATGGGTGACGACGGTAGATGACGACTACCGGAGTGCTGATTGCCTGTCTGGACGGCGGTTGTGAGGTGACCTCGAAGGGAAGTTCTTGGCAGCGATGAGCAGACTTGACGGTGACAGGGACATGGCGACCTGACCTTCGGTGACCATTGATGACTGAAATCGGTAGGAGACTTGGTGCATCGGATGGATTTGACGGCAGATCTAGAGATCTCGTCATGTAAGCGACGGCGACGGTACGGAGTCGAAGCCGGAGTGGACATCGGCTGCGACGAGGAAGCAAGACGCAACGGCGGGAGGGACTTTGCTTGCTGAAGCTCGTCTGTCTTCGATGAACAGGACTTGGGATGCGGAAAGCTTCGTTGAGACGAAGAACATCCGAGCAGCAGGAGACAAGTGACGATCCGGACGAGAATAGCATTGGACCAGCTATGGGCAATTCCCTCGGTACTCATGGCGGCGGAAATAGACGTAGGTTGATCTAGGAAAGAGACTGCGGAAGATTGCAAAACCCTGGTAGATCGAGGTTTGCTCTGATACCATGAAGAATTTGATGATGCGGAAATACGAAAGAACACAGAACACAATATTTTACGTGGTATCCTCGATCGATTGATTGATCGAGACTAATCCACGGTGAGCTCATAAGAGCTCACGGCTGATCTCTTATTAGGATTACATCTTGACGGCTTGCTTACGACAATCTCGTAGCTAAGCTTATATAGAGATAGACTAGGGTTAAAACCCTAATGAGAAGAGTTGAGTACGGCCACACATCCGTACCTACTACAACTCGGACAAGGCCCAATAAGGCCAAATACTAACACGGTTTAAGTAACCGCAACATATTGTTATTTTATTCTCTGAATTACCTAGTATCTGTTATGCTTTCATGAGTCACTTTAATTATTTCATTCTTAAGATTCTTTCTCATTCACTATGTTTTGTATTGTTTGGAAAATGGAGTTGGAAAGATGCATCTAGAAAGTGAACCACTGTGTTAGACCTCTTCCCCTGTGTTGTATTTTCATTATGTTCTCTGAATTTGGTATCTAAATGAGTCTTTTATTTCTTGTTCAACCAAAGGCCATGGCTTGTTTGAGGAGGATATCAAATAAGATGCAGAAGCTAAACACTATGAAGGCCATTAAAATAGTTTTAACCTTGTTGCTTGTTTATGTATCTTTTCTAATTTGATTCCTAGAGCTGCTGATTTTGAAAAAATTAGAGTCCAGACCTCGAAACACCCCTTTAGATTCTATATTTGACCGAAAATATGATAGAATGCGCTATATGAGACGTGTACTTGAACTTTCCAATACACGTTGCATTGATAGTGTTCAGATGGATCATAGAATGTTTAGCAGGTTTAATCAATTACTTGTCGATGAGGGAGGGTTAAGGCGTTCCGATGAAGTAGCTATAAATGAAATGGTCATGATGTTACTAGTTACAATCGGACACAATAAGAAGAACAGAACACTCCAAGTAGACTTTTGTCGATCAGGCCAAACCATTTCCAAAGTGATCCATAGGGTACTTCGTGTAATTATCCGACTTCATCCTATTTTACTGCCCCAACCACAAGCTATACCTGAAAAGTGTACATATGCTAAATGGAAAATTTCAAGGTGACAATTTATTGTAGCTTTGTCTTCTTTTAAATTACAAATTTAGCTAGGCTGAACTCTTATATTAAGAATATTTATTTTGGTAAGGGTTGCCTAGGGGTTCTAGATGGGGCACATGTGAAGCTGCGTGTTACGATAGAAGATCAGCCTAGGTATTTGGATCGAGAAGGACACATCACAATGAATTTTCTTAGTGTGTGCAACCCAAACCTCGAGTTTTTATACTGTGTAGCGCGTTGGGAGGGTTCGGCCCATGATGGAAAGGTTCTTAGAGATGCATTGGCTAGGCCGAATGGGCTACGAGTTTTGAAAGGTATCTTCGACTTAGTGATTCCCTAGTAAACATAAATAGAATCTCAATCTATCGATTAGCTCTTACCCACTCTGATTTCTATGTTATAGGAAACTATTACTTGGTTGATGCTGGGTATAGCAATTGTGAAGGCTTTTTAGCTCCATTCCGAGGACAAAAGTATCATTTGAAAGAATGGGGAGGAGGCAATATGCCATTGACACTCGAGGAGTACTTCAATATGAAGCATGCAATTGCAAGAAATGTTATAGAGAGGATATTTGGTATCTTGAAAATGCGATGGGCCATTCTACGTGAAACTAGTTGGTTCTCTCCCGAAGTTGTTACCCAACTGGTCAATGCATGTTGCTTAATGCATAATTTTATAAAACTAGAGCAAGGGGTTGACACCTTTGAATGGGATTATAGAGACAAAGAACCCGAGCAGCATCCTTCAACAATTGTTGAAAAAATTGAACTTATCTCGGGAGTTCATCCTTCCCAAGATTGGACTCAGTTCAGAAGTTTTCTACTGCTGCAATTTCTTTGTACTGTTTTGGTTTGTAAGAACTTACCAGATGTTAAATGCCTGGATTTGTTGTTATCTTTGCATTGAACCAGCAAAATGAGCACCTATTTTTAATGATGAAACTTTGTTCTATATATGATTGTGGTCTCCTTTAACTAAGCTTCTAGTACTTCTTACCCTTTTGTTTAGCCATCCTAATTATGATTCATTATTTGTTGTTTATGTCAAACTTTGTGATTCTGATTTCATTTGTAGAATGACGAAGAAGAGGAATCAACAGGTGATGAATGATGGAGAAGAGCTACAACCTGCAGAGCCTAACTTCATGTGGACCAAAGCCTTGAACTCTTTACTCATACAATGTATGGTGGAACTGACGCAAAGGCATCAGGTGCAGAATGGTTCTTTTAAGAATGATTCATTTATTGAGCTGGAGAGGATGATTGAAGAGAGGGCTCCAGGATGCGGAGTGAAGGTTGAACCAGCCATTCACTGCAGACACAAGAAGCTGAAGAAGGACTTTCATGCAGTACACTTACTGAGTAATCAAAGCGGTTGTGGGTGTAACGTTGCAACAAGTACCCCAACACTAGATGATGATGTGTTTGCAAATTTTGTTAAGGTTAATTCTACTTGAGTTTTTCTTTGCTTTATGATGCGTCGGCCTGTTGCTTTTATTAAGGTTAGATCTTTTGAGACTTTTTCTTTGCTGTTATGATGTGTTTGCAGGTGCATCCGAATTGTAAGAATCTTAACAAAAAGTCGTTACCTCATTATGATGATCTGCTAAAGGTTTTTGGAAAATTTGGTCCTGCAAATGGAAGAAAGACACAAGGTCTAACTGATGTTGTTCACTCACCCGTGGTTGATGGACCTGCATTCGTGGATTAGGAAGGAATTCAGACACAGTACGAGACAAAAGGACCGAATGCTGAGAGGTTCATGGAGGATATGATCAATGAGGGGGTTGAGTTGTCCTAAAGAGGAGTTCATTGCCTTGTGTCACAACCAGTTGTTCAACCAACACAAGGGGGCACTAACTCTTTCTTGAAGAAAAGGATTAAGAAGGAGAAAAAATATGAAGATGCTATTGTTGTTGTAGCCGACGAGTTGTGTGGGTTAAAGCCTGTGACTTCCAAGGCACTGGATGCTCTAGGCACAATTTTAGTAGAACGTGAGGAAGATGTCGGCAAAGAGGCTGCATTGATGTTAGAAATTGGGAAAATTGCAGGTCTGGAACGCGGCCAAGTCCTTGATGCTGCTATGGTCGTGGTGGAGAATGACAGGAAGACAAGACTCTTCTTCGCTCTCGACAATGAGGAGGATCGAAGGTACTTCATCCAGAACCTGCTTCGTTGATCTTGAAGATTGTACCAAGGATAACAGTAGGGTGTGTGTATGTAATGTCGTCATTTTGTCTATAACACATGTAGTATGGCTAGGAAACTTGCATATTTTGTGCAAAGCTAACATAGTAGTTAGCATGCAAAGTTGTAAGTAGGAAGATTCAGTATGTTGTTTTTGAAAGTTTCCCAGCCATTCTGGCGTGTGTCCAATAGTAATGTCGGTATCAGGCAATGTTCAGTGTCTTAAACTCTGCTATAAAGCCAGTAATCTTAATCTATATATATTCTGGATCCGATTAGTATTTGCTATGTTTTGAAGGTACAACATTTGCATTTGATGAATTGCAGCATTCAAGGGAAAATTGATGCATGATGAGTTCAAACATAATAACATAGCATTTGCTCTAATGATGTTTCAAACTTCTGTAGATATCATTTGCTGTTTGGCAGCAGGATGAGTTCTTAGGTAGTCAAGGTTTTGGCCCTTAATTGCTTATGGATTCATTCACAAAACAGTTTTAGAGCTTTAAACAAGTCTACTAGTCACAACAACACTCTAAACAAGTTTGTTGGGTTCATTACACAAGTTTGCACCAGATTAACTAATGTAGTTGCCATATGATGTTTGGACCACAAAATTGCAGCAGTAAACAATTCTACTAGGCTCATTACATACTTCTACACAAGGTGAGGTCATGGGAGAAAGAGAGAATGAGAGTGAAAGGTGAGTTCTTGATCTGTGCTAGAAGCAAACGTGCTGTGGGCTGTGGCTTTGCAATTAATGTATGGAAAAACTTTAAATATAAATAGTTACTACTAAGGGCAATAATGTACTTTCCCTTCACATCTTCAATTCTAATTAAACAAAATCCATCATCAAGTCCATGAAACAAACAATGGCCTTGTAAAAATCCACAATGAACCAAAAACCTTCATAAGTCCATGGATTTTCAAAACCTTGGTTTTAACAAAACCTTCATTTTACAAATCCACGAAGCAAACGACCCGTTAACACTGCTTGTAATGTGCAGTTTGGTGACTCGACCTAAGTTTTGTTATCTAGCAAACTAACCTAACTACACTACCCTAGTTAATTACAAGTTTGGAGCTCTCTTAGCTTGAATACCCCTAGTTCCATCATTTGGTCTGATGTTGCGTACCATCCTAGGTTGATTGACTCTATATCCTTACCTTTAGGAGATAAACTCTCTCGTGATTGACCCGGAATGGTGAAGTGATGAATTGATAGGTGCTCTAGTCAACGTAGGCATACCCTATATCGTCAAGAGATCGATTGAAATGAATCCCTTAGAGGATTCCCAGACGACATAGAATGAGGAGTGACCCTAATTGCCAAGAATGGGCTAAAATGGGGTTTTTTCTCTCCTAGGTCAAAATCTCAATTGACATGAAGAGGAATCCAAACTCATGAAATCCATGATAAACATCCATCAAATAGATAATATGAACAATCAAACATAAGATTCTTCACATACATCAACATCTAACCAAAATCTAGACCTAGACCTATGATTCTTCAACCTAAGAGAAGAGGGCTAATTACTAGAGAGAAGAGAAGAGATTACAACATAGCTTAAGATCTTCATCTTCTAGGCTTGAATACTTGGCTCCAAGATCAAACCAGGCCTCGAATTAAGCTCCAAGATCACTCAAGATCACACACTCTCTCTCTCTCTCTAGAAATGCGTATTTGGGTGCTTTGGGTCAGAACCCTAAAGAAAATCCAAGCCCCCTTTCACTTCCCACATCTGCATATTTATATGCCTAACAGTGCAAACTTCACTGTCACACTTCAAGGTCGTGATATTAGTTAGAAAATGGCGATCTCATCCCAAAACACACCATTTTGTTCACACTTCAAGTTTTTGGGTGATTTTCACGCCGCCAGCCCGTGAAGGGTGCACAACCCGTGAGATGCACAAAGGCTGCTAGAAATTGCACACTTCACGGTTTTGGTGTCATTTTCACTCCCTCGGGGCCTGATCCTAACACCTAGCATGTGATCCTTGCACAAACTCCATTTTCTTTTTGCTCATTTTGACTATTGAATGTCCCAAAACTTGTCCCCGACCTTCCCTCATGTACTAGGAGCTGAAATGTGATAAAAATAGTACAACATCGAGTAAAATAGGTCGAGGAACAATAATTAACAAGTCAAACGTCTAAGATACAAGGGTGTAAAACATGTGTATATACGCTCGAATCAATCCCCCCCCACACTTATATGTTTGCTTGTCCCCAAGCAAACCAAGTAGAACACAAGGTAAGCTAACAACTTCTTTCTTCAAAATTTTGAGGGCATGTCGTCACCTTGTTCACAAACCATTAAATAACCTGTAGAAAGAATCACTAGTCATAGTCATCAATGCATAAAGATCAAGTCATCGAAACAAAAAACCGAGCAATCTAGGTCCTCAACGGGGTACATGATAATATGAAGAAAGAATCACTCACTCTTGACCAGCAGGGTCAATACCATTTTCATGAAAAAGATGTGTATACTCATACGCTCATCCCTATCGTCCCTTCATCATGAAAGCAACCTTTAAATGCTAGAGTTTAGAAAGATGGGTGTCACCACTAACTTGTCTGGAGGTCTTATACTTGGGTTCAAATGTCTGGATAGGGTCTAGGACATGGGGAAAATTATTTTTAGGTGGTGGCACATGTAGCATGAGGTTCCACGATTTCACCTAGAACCTATTCACAATGACCAAAGACCTCTCACAACAACCACAAACCACATGTTCTACAATTCCAAACGACAACCAATCACGAACACTATCCGCACATAATTTCTTTGCTAAAACTGCTCGAAACTGTTTAATCACAAGAGTGAATGGGGTAAACAATGATGTTTGTGTTCATAAGCTTGACTGCAAAGAAACACACTTTTTAGAGCATGAACAACTTTGTGGCCACTCTCTTATTTTCTTGACCCTCTTTATTGCTTTATTTTCTTTCTTTTCTTCGTCTCTTTTTTTTCTCTTGAGGGGGAAAGAGAGCTAACAACACACACCACATTCTTTGAACTTTATAACCACATGATCACTTTTTAAGAACTTCCTCCGACACTCATTTTCACATTTAGCATAACCATGCACAAATCACTATGTGGAATCTCAATGGAGCTGATGTAACTAGAGCTCCGATAAACAAGATGACTAAAAAATGATGTAGAGAAAAGAAAGCAAGGGTTACTCTATTAAATCTCAATTAAGCTTAAAAAAGCAAGAGCTACACAACACAAGGGCGCCCTAAGACACACGGCTCAAAAGGGTTGACTAAGGGATAACACAACTGGGACAAGTCAATTTTTTGGGTCATTGGCTAATCCCATTCGTCCATCTTCCTTACTGGTGGCAATATGAATGCTACGTATCATGGTAACAGGGATCTATCACACAAGAAAGAAACGAGCAGACACAACTCTCACATGGCTACCTATATGCTCTATGATTCATTCTGACTTCCCAATCTTGATGCATAAGCAATTGTAATTAATGAGTAATCAATCCAAAACATCCATTGGTTCCCAAACACATGAGAACTAAACATTTACACAACCCTGATGCCTATCTCAGTCATTATCATAGGTTGTTCTCAATCACAAACAGTTCATCCATATATCAAAACTCATAGTCACGAGATTCAAAACAAATCACCAAAAAGTGCCACTATGATCATGCAGATGTAGAAGTTACGATGCTTAGAGCACGCAAATTTTATAAATTTGGGCATTGAACTAGGCACCAATCAATCAAATCACATTAATCATTCACACACACAAGCATGATAGAATACCCCCCCCCCCACACACACACACACACATACTTAAGCTTGACATTGCCCTCAATGGCATAAATTAAGGAGGTAGAACGATGTTACAAGATATGGTGTGCATTGGTGGACGGGACCGAAGGTAAGGTTAGACCTTGAAGAGCAAGCCAACGTCCAAAGCACCAAAAATCTCCAAAGGTTGTCATTTTGAAGCGAGAAGAAAACAAACTGATGGTGGTTGGGTTACCTCCCAACAAGTGCTTCTTTAAGGTCATGGGGTCGAACTGTTACTCTTAAAGTTTTTGTCCACCCTAAAGCCTCCTTGAAGATAAGGTTCTCATCGGTGAGGTGGTGTCTCAAGTCACGAGCTTTGGGCGAGTCCATGATTGAGGGCTCGTGAACTTGAATGGTCTTGAGGCTCCACCCATGACACCTCTCCTTCTTTCCTTGTTATTTCTTCCTGTTGCCCCAAACCATGTAAGATATCATCAATTGACTACCATCGCATCCACTAAGAGGGATTGATGATGGTTTGGCATTGGCTTGGCAAAGACCCGTAAACGGGTCCATTTTGAGTAGCGCATCAAAGTTGGATGGAAAGCTTTCATAACACTTGTAACTTGCAAAAGCTTCATCCACCACGACCTAGTCCTCATCTTGGACACCACTTACTTCTTCAAACTCGACTTGATTTCGTTCTTACTCACTTTGTTCCTCCCCTTGGGAACAATCAAGATCTTCCTCTTCTTCAATGTACACTTTCTCCTATTCAACCTCCTCTTTCTCCTTCCCATTCATGTGTACAAGCACGATTTGGAGGGCAAGATGCCATGCAAGATCATTGAAAGGGTTCTTTTGCTCCTCTACCCTTGTGACTTGGTCTTCAACATTGTTCTTGGGAAGGGGAAAGGTGCGAAAATCATCAATGCACACTTGGTCATCCTCACCACAGGAGCTCTTTGAGGTGAGTTCCTCTTGCTCCATGCGGTTGTCATTGATCGCCGTTTAAACCTCGTCTTTCTCCTCTAATGATGAGAGGCGATGGCTTTCACAATGTGTCATCTTCTCTTACAATGTCAAACAAGAAGGAGGGAAGGGTTTCAAATCCGTGTTGGAGGATGCTCTTTCAAAGTTCTCCATGGCAAGCTCCAATTTGGATTTTGAGGAAATGTAGTTTTGTAGGTCTCGTTTGATGGCCTAGCACCACTTCCATATCCGCTAGCGCTTCTGTAGCTTCCACATGATTTTTCATAACAAGATCCACATGGACCCCTTACATAGCCTTTAAGCCATGTTCTGGTGCTGAGGAGACAGTGTGTGAGGAAACCACCTTGTTTTGAGCAGCTGGGTTCCTTCACTATTTGTTGTGGTGAATTTATCAAGGTTTGATTCTTAGCCTCATGGTTCTCAATAGTACCCTTCTTGCCAGATGTATCATGTTTCGCGTCCCTTTGTTTTCCATCATTATTTTCT